AAGCTGACGGTATACATTTTAAGCACGGTTTAATTTATCAAAAGCTGCCGATATAATACGAATAGCGTTTGCGGTGTCTTGCGCTGATTGGACTGGCTGCGGGGCCTTGCCTTGCCTTCAGCGTTGCCAACTTAGCGACTTTGTCGCTAGATCTAGCGTTTTGAGGTAGCCATTTGAGAAATTTTTTTATGATTTGCGACGTGTCTCAAACCTAGCGTTTTTCACATTGTGTTGGCGACATTTTTGGAGACATTTTAACATTGATAATGAAATTTGTTTTTAAACAAAACAACAAAATAATTTCTAGTTTAAAATATTTCAAATTAAAATGTGTTACGTTGGCATGGCCAACTTGGCAACGACGCATCCGTACGTCATTCGTCAAATGTCAAAAACTGAAAAAATAGCCGGGCAATTGTCAAATTCGAAGAATGAAAAAGTGCTGTAAAAGCTATACCTTTCCCGATAGAATCCTAAGGGATTTTGGCACTTTGCAGGCTTATATTAATGACGATGCAAAATCGACTGAATTTCTTGAAAATTTCGAGGAAAATTTATTAATAAACTAATTTTTTTTTTAATTTTTTTATTTACCTTAAGAATTATTTATTTTTATATATTTTATTTATTTTTCTTATTTTAGAATGATTTGATTTTTTAATGATTTATATTATGTTATTTAAATAAAATATTTGTTAACAATTATAATTTTTAATTATTTTTGTGTAATGATAAGATAATGCCATTTTCTAGTGTCCTTTTCTACAACCACGTTAAAATTCTTTCTTTATGAAAAATCAATTCTGTTTAAAATTTTGCAACCACTTTAAACTTTTTTCTATTTTTTTTTTTTTAATTTGCGACATCTGGCGATTTTTAAGTGCCAAATAATTTAGCGATTTCTGGCGACTTTTGAAGAGCTTGGTTGAGACTTTTCACAATAGACTGTTGGCAACACTGCTTGCCTTGCTGGTCTTGCCAGTGCGGGACTATCGCTGACGCTGCTACCTAATTGGATTTGGATAGCACGCCTACCTAGACCAAGCCTATCTTTAAATTAAAATAAAAATGACTAAATTGCCAATGCTAAGAATAGTGAATTTATCAAGCGTTTATAAATCAGTTTTTAAAGGGTTTTTTCTTTTGCTTTTCCCTGATAAATACTCCTAAATATATATAATTCATCTTAAATAATCTATTTTCAACATTTTGTCCAAAAAAATACATAAATACAGCCTAGATTCGCTTTGCGAGTGTTTTGTTAACTAAATTATTACTAAAAAGTAGCAGGATAATTATTGGTATATTTCGAACACCGATTGCTCTATATTTTAACATTGTAAACAGGATTTTAGGTGTTATTTATAGGGTGCGCCTACGCGTAGACGGACCGCATGTGGTCGTAGAGTCTCGCGTTTACCACAAGGCGCTGTACTGTACTTTTCTAGCTATATAAGATGTATGTTAATATGTAAATAAAATCTCTTTGTCTTTGTCTTTGTATTCGTCCATGAATCGACAAGTCCGCGGTTCAAACCCCAGCGAATATAAAATATTTTTTAATTTTTCATATTACGTCATCACATCGTCATAATCACGTGACATAGATTTAAGAGATAAAATCTAGTTAGACAGTAGTACCAACCACATTTTATTTACTACCAACCTAAGATTTGAGAGATAAACCAGGACTTCGAAGGTCCTTATCTTTCAGGAAAAGGACCCTCTGGTCATTGACCTTCAGCAGCCGAAGACATCCTGAAAAGGACCTCTTCGGCACTGAAAATCCTGAAAATCCATCTGAAGACCTTCTGGGCATTGTCTTTAACAGCAGAAGACATCCTGAAAATCCTGAATGGTTACACATGCCATCCAGTTTGAGTCAGGAACCCGCCTTCTACACTACTAATTCTATTGACTCTTGTAAATTAGGTATATGATAAGAGTCTGTAATAGTTATTTTATTTAATTTTATAAAATCCACGCATTTTCTAAGTTTAATACTTCCATTTTCCAATTTTTGTGTAATCAAAACTACAGGAGCTGACCAAGGAGATTAAGAGTGGCGAATTATATCTGATTTTTGTCAAATAAGGTTAAACAAGGACCATATATTTTATCACAGTTTAACTTTTGTGATGTAATATATGGTCCTTGTTTAACCTTATTTGACAAAAATCGTATTCAAAAAATTCAAAATTCTTGTCTCAGGCTAATACATGGAATTCGAAGAAACCAGCACATTAGTCATACATTAAAGCACACAGATTGGTTAAATATGGAAGATCGTAGGTACCTACATTCTGCAGTTACATTTTTTAAAATTCTAGTTTACCAAAAACCTACTTACCTCTACACTAAAGTTAAATTTCGTTCAGAGATTCACAATTTGAATTTGCGTCATAAGCACTCCCTTGCATTTCCAAAGCATAGCACTGAATTGCTTAAACGATCATTTTCGTATCAAATAGCCAACTTATTTAATAAATTAAAATTTAACCCTTTTAACTTAAAAATTCATCAATTCAAAAGCCAAATCCGTGAAAGTGTTTTAAAAAACGCCTGAATATACATAGTTTTTATTAAGTTCGTCTCTCTTTATCCAATTTTTTACGTGTTTCCTTCTTCACTAGTTATGTAGGTACACTAGTAAAAAGATAATTGCACAGAAATATTATGTATTGACGCTTAGTTAGATAACTTATTATTTATGTAGCTATATGATTATTTTTGTTTTTTTTTTATTTTTGTTAGATATTTCTTTTCTTTTTTGTTTTTCCCTTAGGGTTAGATGTAAGAATAGACTTACATGCTCTAGGCAGTAGTTTGGAGTGTGTAAGAACTAAATCTCGCCCTGTATTTAAATATTGTACAACTGTCATTCTGTATTTTAATCAATAAAGTCCTTTATTATTATTATTATTATTATTATTTTAATAATTAATTAATGATAAATTAACATGTAATTAATGATAAATTAACATGTACAAATAAAATTTCCCATAAAATTAAAACATCAAGCGAAATTTCCTCAAAGCCATATAGAGTTCCTTTTCATTTAAGAGAAAAATTAAAAGAAGAAATAGATAAATTATAATTTATCTATTTCTTCTTTTAATTTTTCTCTTAAATGAAAAGGAACTCTATATGGCTTTGAGGAAATTTCGCTTGATGTTTTAATTTTATGGGAAATTTTATTTGTACATGTTAATTTATCATTTTCTTTACAAAAAATATAGTTTTATCTACATTAAACTTCAGTCAGTTATTCCCGACTATATTTATCTAAATGAGTTAAATTAAATTGGTCGTTTACAATAATTTCAGTTTTTATTTCATCATTTTTATTTTCTACATAATTTTCGGCCCTTGCAACTTTTACATTTGCAACAATATCATAATTATTTGAATTTATAATTCTTACAAATTTATTATTTGAACTTATAATCATATTGGCACAAAAAATACCTTCAACGCTAAAATAAATAGGTTCAATCAATATATCATTCTTCAGATCGTTTATTTTTACAGGCACATTAACCTCGCACAGTGCAGGAATCATTGATTCGGATGCTGTTACAGCATAAAGAATTTTATTTTCATTACCATTTTTAATTCGTTCCTTTATTAATATTTGAGATTTCTTAATATCTTTAACTCCATTATTTTTACTTTTTCCGACGTTATTATTATTATGAAATTTGGCAAAACCTTTCTCATTATTATCACTAAACTCATTATTCTTAATTGACTCATCATTAGCATCCCCAATATCTTTTTTAACACATAACATTCCTTTATTTTTTTCACAAATATCATTTTCTTTAACGTCTTTTAATTCCGAAACCTTGTTAAAATCTACTCTAGAGTTTTTAGAATTTAGAATAACACTGTTAGTTGGATTCCGTTTCACAAACTCCACTGACAGTACTTCCCTTACTTTGAGTCCAAGTACTCCCAACTGTAGAAATGTTCTTCTTGCTGCGAGCCTGAACATATACCACAGGATCGAGATTATCAACACCCTGTTTTCATTATTAACCTCAAAATTATCTATTTCATCATCATTTTTCTCTCTACAAATTTCGTCATCATACAAAAAATTCTTGACTTCATTTAAATCGCTAACATCGCAAAAATCATTATTATTATCGTCATTATCATCCATAAAATTACCTCGTAACCGTAGTAAACTATTTGTGAATATGTCAAATTTCATCCCAAATAACCATAAAATATCTTCTTCATACGAAATAACCGCTTTGTTTGTTTTAAAAAAATCCCTTCCTAATATACCGGTGTGTTCTAAAGGTACACTTGTTTTGCAAACTATTACATTAAACTTACTAACTTCAAAATTATTTTTATGTCCAAAATTTAACAATACTGTTCCTAAAACTGGTATGTTATGCCCTGAAGCACTTGTTAAAAAAACATCTAAATTATTAAAATAGATTATCCATAATGAAATAGCCTCTCTTTTAATAATTGTAACTGGCGAACCTGTATCTATAAAAAAATTTATTTTTATACCTTCGACAAAAATTTGAACAACACATATTTGGGATAATAATACTACTTTTTAGTTGGACGTACCCACTCGAGGTGCTTTGGCTACGTCCCTGGCGTTTTCCGACGGTTTATTATTATTTCCTGCTGGTACATTATCGTTCCTGATATTATTACTATATCTTGCGTACCTGTCGTTATTTACATACCCTCTATTTTGAATATTGCCGTTATATTGTCCACTATTATAATTTATTTCATTAAAGTTTTGTCTGGAAAATTTATTATTTGACATGTTTCTAAAATTTTTGTGTCATGATCATGATTCATAATTCATGGCCCTTCGGGCCGAATAGAATCGATCGACACTACACACACACCACACGTACCCGACGTTTCCAGACTTTTTTAAATTATTTTTCCCAACAACCCACCCCCTACTCCACCCAATCTTTATATAAATATAAAGAGGTATGTTCAATACCACCAGTATGGCTCCGTTTCTATTCCCAGGGCATAAGTATTTGGGACCAGGCAACGAAATTAATGGCGAAGAACCTATTGATGAAGACGATCGCATTGCCTTAATTCATGATATTTCTTATTTAGAAAGTCATAGTGATCAAGAAATTCGCGACGCAGATTTAATAGCGATACAAGATTTCATAGAAGACATTCAAGAAACTGGCAATTGGCATTCTGCTGTTGGAGCTTTAGGTTTATTAACAAAATATATTGGAGAATCAGTTTGGGGCGTTGTTTATCCAAGTAAGTTTGCATTTTTAATTATTATACTATTATTTATTAGAAATGCCTTCTAGTACTACGAAAAGACCTACTCATGCTGGAAATAAGAGGTATGCAGATCAAGTAAGGCAAATAAGTGAAATATATAAAAAGAGGAAGCAGGAAGGTCAAAACATTAATTGGCCCGATTTTATTAAAGAATTTCATCGTACTAGTTCAAAGGGGCCACAAGCTGGACCCTCACATACAAGTACCAGTACCACCAACAGACCCGCCAGTCCCGTTGCAGATAGAAATCAAGTGGTTCCCGATAATTTTTGGAATCTGGATATGGATAATTTTGATGAAACTATGTTGGAAGTACCTAGTAATATACAAACGGTACAATCGAATTCAACAGGCAGAGACATTGGAAGTAGGTCAGGAGGCAACTTCATACGATTATATAAGTCTCCCATGAACAAAAGTTATGAAATTACATTTGAAAAATCATTTGTTTGGTATTCGTATGGTTATAATTTTGAAATTTTGAACATTGCTAAAGAGTCTATCAATTATCGTACTACTCCGTTCGCTTTAATACCAGTGGATTACATTCCTTCTTATTTAACGTATTGTGGGTACTCAAATTTACCTAATAATTCTTTTGTTAAACATGTACATTGTTCAGTAAAAATACTAGGAGTTCGCACAGCATTCGATACTGGTACTTCACTTAGTGGAGTAGCCAATTCAGAACATGTTTCTTTATGTGCTTCAATGATAGGATTGAATAAAGTTTGTTCTTTAAGCAATTGTTCGTATAAAGCAGATGCTACGAAACCAATGATACCTACGGACGTAGAAGATTGGAGTGATAATAATTATGTAAAGAAATTATACACAGACGCTGCAAGTGGTATTATGGGTGCTCCTAGATCTGTAAATGCATATGCTTGTATACATGAAAATTACAGTAAAGCTCCTACAAATACTCCAACCTATCCTGTACACGCTAATGGTCCTCCATTTATTGAAAAATTAATGAACAGATATCACGTAGGTTCTCATGTGGGTCAAACTATTGTTGAATATAATTACACTCCTGAATACGCTCCTATCAATTTAACTCCATCTTTAGATTTACCAATTGGACCAGAAACTGATACTCTTGACAATACCAGCGTATTTACTCAATCTCGAGGAGTTCAACAAAAAAAAGATGGATTATGTGGTATTGGTGGCGCTTCAAAACCGTTTGACGGAGAGGCAAGCACCAATGTATATCAAACTACAAAAACTTACGAATACAAACAATGCATTGAAAAGCCATATGTTTTCCATCCACATAAACATAAAGTCCAACCAGCTCAACCTCAACTGCATGTTGGATTATTACCAACACCAAAGTTAAATCCCTCAGTGGAAGGAAGTGACATTCAAAATTCTAGTATTTACTATGAAGTAACATTTAAAATGAAAGTAGAAGCAAATCACAATGGCTTATATGCTGATTCAACTCAAATTCATAGCAAACCATCTGAAATTGTATTCCACAATTCTAGACGAATGCCGTATAATGGAGGTGGTCGTACAATGTTAGGTTACTGGGATGTGGGACTTTAAACACTGTATATTTAAAATATTTTATTAATAAAATTATATTGAAATATTCCAATCGTTTTCATTGTTCAACATTATATTATTTATGTTAGTATTACTACACTCTAATAAATCAATATCGTCATATTCATTGGTTAGTAATTTCTCATACACATTATATTTTTGTAATAGAAGCCACCAAGACAAAGGGTAAGGTTTTTTATTGTAATTTTTTAAAAATGGAGCTGTGTTCCAATTATACTTTATCATTCTTGTTTTAAAAGCAGTGTCTTTTGGAAAACAATCTGAGTTACTGGTAATGAGAACAGGTGTTCGCATTATTACTTTATCGGACTCAAATTTAATTTTAGTTGGACAAGGATCGCCTCCAAATAACATTTTAAGAGTTTCAAAAGATGCAGGTTCGCAACTGGGTTCATTCCAATAATTGACACGTCGGTTCCAACATTCCATCAAGGGAAATTGATCGTATTTGTTGAAGTTATGAATTTGTCCAAAATTGAAGTAATAGTGGATCACAGCATCCAAGAAAAAGTTTTTACCGGAGTTTGGTGGTCCTATAATAAAGAAACAATTTACTTTTGATATTAATTTGTCTAAAACATTTAAAAGATCAACTAAAAATAACTGAATATCATTAAAATTACTATTAAACTGATATTGGAGTAATTGATCAAGTATAAACAGGGAATTATCAACATCATAATAATATTCTGCCACCTCTCCATTATTAGCATGATACAAGGGATTACACTTAGAACTATAATTATTGCAAATATTTCAATACATTTCTGATTACGGTACAATTTAACATTCCAAAAAACAAAGGGACTGTTATAAAACTGACTGGTTGTAAAAATATTCAATATGGGGCTTGTCGGTTGTTCCCGAAGCCACGCGATGAACTTGTTTTCTTTCTTTCCATTTTGCATTGTGGATTTTCCTTTAGCGCTTTGCCCGCCATCACCGTCAAGCGATCTACTGCCATCTTCAGGGGATCCACAGGAGAAGGGATTGCAAAGATTGCTTTGGTCTTCGCATACCTCCACCACTCCTGCTTGGGCAAATCCATGATGTCGGTGCTGGGATAAACCTCCAACTTCACGACTTCGAACCCAGATGGACTTTCCACATTTAAGGAAAATAATGAATCGTTCTTCTTTTTCTGAATAAAGCAAGAGATTGTTCCAGTATTCGATTCGAAGTCGGAAATTCCAAAAAGTTTTTCTAGAGAATCGACGGTCGCTCCGCAATTGTTGGTATCGACTACACTTGCACTTGGAATCGCAGAAGGAGCAGTCGTGGACGACATGAAGGTGGTCTCTGTGCCAAAAGAACAGTTCGAAGTTTGCCATTGATCGCGTTTTAAGGCACTCTCTAACATATCTATAGCAGTTTTCTTCGCTTTTAAAGTGTATAATTTCATGTATAACTCTTCGTTTTTTAATAAGTCGGTAAACTTTTCGAACGAAATCGGTGAATTTAGAGGCACGTCCTGTTTCTTCATCACTTTCATGATCTTCTTCATTGTTGTCGCTATTGTTACCCACATCTTCTTGGCCGTCAAATCCTTCAATTCTATTGCGGTTGCTATCAGGGTTCGCATTAGAACATGAAGGCAAAGAATACTTGTCTCTTCTGTCCAATGCAACTCCAGTAACTGAAGCACTTGACTCGCTTCCTCCAAATCTTCGCACAGAATCTCTTGAGTTGTCATCTTCAAATAGTTCCTCGAAACTACTACAACTACTCATAAAAATGTACTATTTTCTTTATATTGTCAATGAGTCGAATAAACAAAACTTGTACTAACCAATCACTAATATCTTGCAGTACTACAAACAGTTTCCAAATATTTCGAAATCTTCTGTAATAATTCAATTGATCTTCAAAATCCCTGAAATAACTGTTGTTTGGTTCGCAATAGTACCAGTTCCAATTGTCTAAGATTTTGTTCCACTCACTTTCCAATAAAGACTTGTCTTGTAAATCGTCTTCGTAGTCACTTAACTGATGGTCTATGGTATCCCACTCGTCTTCGGTTAAATGTTCTTCTGTAGGCACGGGCATACTGTGGTGGTAACTGAACATTCCATTTATATTTATATAGAGCCGGGTACGTGTGGTGGGTACAAGTTGACCGCGTACTTGAGGAAAAGTTGTTTGAAACGTCGGGTACGTGTGGTGTGTGTGTAGTGTCATGATCATGATTCATAATTCATTGCCCTTCGGGCCGAATAGAATCGATCGAATTTTGGGGAAAACAATTATTCCTCTTATTATCACCTTTATATTATAAGACCTATAATTTTGACGATTATTATTTGTGTAACAGTTCCTATCCAAGTGCCCCATTTTCCCGCAAGCTCTACATTTAATTTAATAACATTTATTGCCTTGGTTCCTTTGTAAAAAATATTGATTGGCTTCTTCTTCAATTGCGTATTGAACCGCTTTATCTATGTCTAAATCAGCTTTCCTCATGTATAAACTACCCAGATTTGTCAAAAAATTTTTATTCAACCCTATTTTAAATTGATTCAAAACTAACTGTTTATTCAGATTTTTATGCCCGGTTTATCGGCTTCTGCGGCATTTTTCAAATTTTCCTCTAAAATTTTTATTCCCAATAATTTAATTCTTTCTACAAAAGCATTAACACTTTCATCAGAATTTTGATAACACCTTTGTAGATTATTAAGAGCCCTTCCTGGTAACTCAAAAGGCTGAAAACGTTTTAAAAATTTCCCTTTAAGATCATTAAATGACAAAGAGTTTAAGGATTCATCAACTTTAAAAAAATTATACGCTTCACCCGATAACCTATATTTAAAGATTGGTAAAGTTTTTTGTTAATCCCAATTTTCTAATTTAGAGCGCTGTTCTAATTTTTCAAAATAAGTCTTCACATTACCTTTCCCACCAAAATTTTCAACTGTATTCGCCAACAAACTTAATGTTTGTTGTGCAACTGTTTCTGTATCAGGCATTTTATATATATAACAAATTTAAAAATTATATATAAATAGGATTATTAAATTAATATAGGGTTAATTAAAAAAAATGTATTGCGCACACAACTCCTGCCAACACTTTAATATCCAAGAAGATTTTAAAACTTTCACTGCCACCATTGTAAAAATCCACTCTTCACCACTTAAATAATGATAAAGCTGCCACCACCCTCAAAGTAAGGGAAATATAATATAAATAAAATGATAAGCGTTCCTCGGAGCGTAAGTTTCGTAGCCCTAAAATATCTTTGGATATTGAAATGAAAAGCCTGAGTTTGTACTACAACTAAATATATTAAGAGATAATAAACAAATTTGACTTACAAAAGAAATCTAAAATACAAAAGAAAAATTATTTCTAATAACTAATAACAAAATAAAAGATAAAATTTGAATTAAAGATAAAAGATTATTATTATTAGTTTTTTTTTATAATTTTCCCCATAGAATAAAAAAAAATAATAAAGACTTAACGTTTGGGTTTGCCTGCAGTAATAGTGGAACTGTTCCTATATGTGCACAGAAAACTAATAAATTTCACACTACTGTTTTTTATAAATTTAAACATAAAATCCGAACTTGCAACACGAAGATGTTAAAGTGTGTTTTCGCGACCGAACTGTTTTTTTCCTTTTTTGTTTGAATCAAGAAGAACTCTCTTGAAAAAATCCAAGTTCCGTTTTTTATATGAAAACTACGGGAGTCAAACCAATAAAAATTTGTCAATCTTATATGATTGCCCAATAAGAAAGAGTGGCCTGATTTTAATTAACGAATCAAATTATTATTATTATTATTATTTATTGCTCGGTACTATTTGCGTTTCCACTAAACATGGGCACTGTTTATATTAACTGTTGATTTATTATTTCCCAATTTTACTTAGGTATTAATGTCTGCACATAAACTATTTCAAAGATAAACAAATGCGAATATTTATATTGCTTAATTTGCCCCTTAATTGAACATTGAAATTGAAATTTTGCAAACACCCTAACGCCGTCCTGCAAGCGGGCTGCAGGCAGCAAAGAAAGAGCCATTGCCATCTTCACTAGGGCCCTTTTTTCATCATTTGCAGGGTACTAAAAATTGTTTTAATGTAGCCATTTATTTATTTAAAGGTGGAATAATTTACTTGAAGGCCTAATGTCCTGGATTTTCTAAATACTGCCTGGCAGTAATGGAACCAACACCCCTTGAGTCTGCAATTGGGCCACACTTCGGCTATGGCTCTCCTTAACCCCTCCTCATAGTCAGTTAAACAATTTACTGGATTTATGTTCGGAATCAAATTTACTATTTGTCTGAACAGGGCTACATATGATGAGGTATTTTTTCTCTCCATTAGTGCGAACGCCAATGGAAAAACCTACAATTGGTTTGGTATATAAATCTATAATAGCCGTTTATGAAAATCTTACAGTTGAATGTTCAAAAATGAAAATAGTGAGAAGTTGGTACACTCTACCAACCCTAGGGGTGACTTTAAAGGTTCCATCCATATGCAGCGACCCACTGCGCTCAGGAGCACTTGTTACAAGTTGTTCAATGGTTGGAGAAATAAATAATAACGTATTTCCTCCATTATCATTGGACGGGATTAATGTCCTAAAAATTCTTCTGCCTTCCAGGCCCAATTCATCTGCAAATCTTTGGGACCATCTAAAAATAAACTTCTTAAAATCATAACAGAAAAATTTCAAAAAAAAGAGCATGAACTTAAAGAGGAAGTTAGTTTAGCGCCCATAAGCATGCAACCTCGATTGCAATCGGCAATACAGCATTCATGAGTCATTAATCAGATTCATATACAATATCTGTTGTATATGATCCGATTATTTTTAATTCGAATTATATTGATAATCGGATTCTACAGGTTATTTCAATAATCGGATGATGTTATTTATAATTCGAATAATTATTATCCCACCACTAAGTAAAATAAAAGTCAGGTTAATAAAAGTAATAAGATTTTTATATGTACCTAGGATCTTCCAACAATTCTGCGAACTGTTCCGTCGTGTGGGGTATCCGCGGAATGGCCAATGCTCGGGATCTAAAGATAAGATTTCTGAAATTTTGTAGAGAGCCCGATCTGGCTGCCACCAAGGGAAACCTTATTTCAGCTTCTCTAAAAATTTCGGCGGAACTTAGGCTCTCAGCGTTGAAAGCTCGATCCCTCAAATAGTTCCGGAATCTTAGTTCTTCGATTATTTCCAAAGGGACTTCGTGGTTATGTTCCTGACGTTGAACTGATTATTGTAAACAAAATATTATAAGTGGAACAAAATTGCTAAATAATTATTTGGTATATCTACCTAAAATATTCCCTCTTTTTATTACACGTGCAGGGCAGAATGTAGACCTGTATTCCGCACATTTAAAATAACTATTTAAATTAATTGTCCTCTCCTTAACATACATATAATTAAGGCCATCTAAATATACGGTATTTCTCGAAGTGAAACCAATCATTTGTTCCATTTTGCACCCTAAAAAAAGCAAATAGAGTATTTTCACCCAATTTTTTTGCTAGTAAATTTTTAAGAACCCTAAACTCAGTAAAAATCAAATAAGATGGCAAAATATTAAATAGTAAAAAGGGCCATTTCAGGCGCAGTAAACGCATGATTCACAAAACTGTTTTTATAAAAAAAAAAATTGTAGGTGGATTATTATATATTATTTTTGCTTGAAAATTGTCAAAAATATTCTTCTTTTATTAGGCTATACATTAAATAAAAAAAAACGCAAGAAATATTTTTTAAAAGTAGACAGGTATGGACGGGACAAAAAAATTTCTTTTGTCCCGTCCACACCTGTAAATTATTGAAATTATCTCTACTTTTATAAAATATTTCTTGCGTTTTTTTTTCATTTAATGTATAGCCTAATAAAAGAAGAATATTTTTTACAATTTTGATGCAAAAATAATGTATAATAAATTACCTACAATTATTTTTATAAAAACAGTTTTGTGATTTGTCCCGTCCATTCGCTTGAAATGGACGAAAAAGTTAAATTTAAAATTTAAGACCTGAATTACTTGGTCACTTTTTCATTTGGAATTTTTTTAACATTTTTTCCTACCTATATTAAGGCCCCCTTACATGCACCTTTCGGGAAGGTCACCACTTATGACTCACCCTGTATATATACAGTATGTCCCCGGATGGGGTTGCCAATAGGAAAAAATTTTTTATTTCGCGTTTAAAAAAAAAGGCATTCTTCATAAAAACCCCTGCTTATTTAAAAAATGACATCCCCATCAAAAAAATTTTAATCAAATGTACGGGGTGCTCAGAAATTAGAAAAACATAAAAATTGTTCACTTCACTTCACTTCAGAGACTTCTCTTTATGAATTATTTTATTGAAAAATTTTATAAAAGAAAGTCGATTACAATTCAAATTAAAGTCTAAACACAAAATATATTTTTTTTATTAAAAAATTGTTATTTTTATAAAATAATTATTTTATTTTATTAAAAGTTTTATAAGTGAAGGTCCATGAAACTTCAATTTAAGTTAAATTAAATTCTAAATACAAAACAAACAAAAAATTATTAAAGTATTATGAAAAAAAATTCATAAAATTAAAATATATTTTTTTTAGTTTGTATTTAGATTTTAATTTGAATTGTAGTCAAATTTCTTTTATAAAATTTTTTAATAAAATAATTTATAAAGGTACTTCTCTCTTGAACATGTTTTCTAATTTTTGAGCCTCCGGTACATTTAATTCAAAATTTTTTTAAGGTGATGTCATTTTTTAAATAAGCAGGGGTTTTTATGAAGAATGGCTTATTTCTTTAAAACGCGTAATAAAAAAGTTTTTCCTATTGGCAACCCCATCCGGGGACATACTGTACATACAGGGTGTCCCGAAATTAGGGGGCCAAACTTAAACAGTGCATTCTTCATAGAAAAGTAACACTTTTTTGTTAAATAAACATGTATCAAAAAATGCCCCCCAACGGAGCTACGGCCCCCTGAATAGGAGCCTAAGAGAATAGTTTTTTAAAAACTATTCCTAGAGCGTTAAACATGAAGAAAT